TCCTGGATAGTGGCTCTGATGCTCACTAATCCTCGGCCTCCTTCCTTCCACTGGAATATCTTAAGTCCGCTGCTGGACTTGGGGTAAAACCCGCCGTGCATTGTAAGGAGCTTCCTTGTCTTGATGTCAGTGGCCTCTATCCCCTCCTTTCATGGTTCCCATTTGCCTGCGGGATCCCAAGGTACTTGTAGCTGTCCTCAACATCTGCTATGTTGCCTTAAATATATATATATATTTTAAGTTACTGTTTCATTAACCTGGGAGAACAGTAAAGTATGCTGTAGCACAGTCCAGGACATGTTGGATGTCCGGCCAATTTCACAGACCCTGTACTGGCAGCACCTTTGTGGTGTTTCTTACTTTTCAATCAGATATTGTTTCTGGGGAAAGTTGAGTCTGTCTCCTAATCCTTATGACATGAGACTGTAAAGTAGCTATAAAGCAGCAGTAACGTGTAGAGAGAGCATCTGGCTTTATTCAAACTCTCACCTATATTTGCACTGGATTGGACATCAAAACATCAATCCATGGTTTCTAAAGCTACACACGGCTGCATGGAGAGGCTAGTGGCAGTGCTTCGGAAACAGTTACACTATTCTTTTATTGTTTTTCATGATTGGACAGATGAAAGAGAAGTGGTGGCTCTGCAGCACCGCCACCATGGCTCAATTCCCTCCTCCTGGACATCATTACCACTATAAAGCTTTTGCTACTCAAATTGTGTAAAGTCAAAGAAAATCAAATTGCATGCAATTCAGACCTCCTGGTTACTGTCTCCTTTGTATATTACACAATCAGTGTATTTTATTACGGTACATTTTGTTTTTATTATCCATCTTGCATGGAGAATAAATAGCACATGATTGTTATTTATGTCTTTATTTTAAAAGAAAAGAATGCAAAAACCACATCAAAAAACCAGCGACATAGTCATGGAGTTAAAATTATCCTTTGGCTGTGGTGTTAATGTGTGGCTTCTCTAGTTCCTAAACACATTCACATCTCAGAAGAATGTTGTTTTTCTCTGATGGGGACAATAGAAGTGTGTTTTTCACGTTATGTTTTGATACAGCCATAGTCCTGTCACACGGTCACTTCAGTCACAGGGGAACAAGCTGACAACAGGCTCACTGTAGGTTTGCCTGTATTCATTTTTTTTCTGCGTAGCCCAGCTATTGTAAAATTCTACATTTCCCTTTAATTCCTACTGTCTTTTTTATTACTTTTACACTGGTTCTGTAAACATGGATTCCATGGCTAGAATTCATTAACCATGCAAGCCACATGTACATTGTGAAGAAGGTGCTGAGATGGACAGCGCAGCCACTGGCAGACATCTTAAAATCAGTATAAATTCATATTTGTGGTTGAAGTGGTAACTCATTGGCCACTGTCACCCATAAAACTGTCTTTTAAATAACTGCCCACAAATTGGGACAAAATATGATCTGAGTACATTGGCACTGAACTATATTGTGTTGCTGTGAAGCTTTTGTTCGTGTGAATCAAAAACAGCTGCAGACTAATAATAAAAATATAAAGCCAGAGTATAGTAAAGCATTATTTGACTGATGCTGACCACACTCGATGTCACTCATGTTCATTACTGTGTCCCTGTACCCTGGAGTTAGGAAGCAGCGCCACGGCTTGTGAATGGCATGCGGCGCTCTTAGCACGGTGGTGTAATTAGACACTTGTTTGGTTTAGTAAGCCGTTAGCTCTTCCTGCTTACTCACTCAAGTTCTCCATTCTGTCAGAATGAAACAAAATTTAAGGTGTTAACATGTGCTGCAGGGTTTCTTGTAGTGGTGAGGTTTAGGGCACCTTGGAGTTACTGTCAGGCACAGTTTTCTTGCTAAATATATGAAGTCATACAGCTAGGTGCTAATTGTGCTCGGTAGTGTATTTTCAGCTGTGCATTCATTGTGGTAAGAATTTAAAAGAGCACTGAAAACCCTCTGGCATGCACACATCAAAAAGAAAACATTTAGCAAGTCACTATTAGATGATTATGGACTTGCACTCAAAAGAGTTTCAACAAGACCTTGCTTTAACTTCATCTTTAGAAGATCAAGGGAAGAAGATGAACTCGGATAGGGGGTACTATAGGCATAATGAGAGTGAGAGTGTTGCCATGTGTGCACAGTCTTGTCTGGCTGTTGTCCCACTGTAGTGACAGTTGCCCCCAGTCTGCCAGGGGCCATAGTTCAGGCCTGCAAAAAAAGAAGTCCGGTAGAGATGAAGGCTTCTGCAACTGAAGGAGTGATTTCAGGCCAGTATAGTGTCCTGATCAGTTAGTGGATGAATCCTTCCCCTGAGGCTGGAGCCACGGTTAATGTCTGTGCAGAGAGAGGAAAGAGGAGAGGAGACAGCCATTATTGGCACAGGGACAGTCGGTCACCTTTGATCCTCCACTGGAAGTATCACTCCAGTCTTCACAGCTGTGTTTGCGCACTGCCTCCTCCTCTTACTTCTTTTGGTCTTTGCTCAAACACAAAACAGTAGCAGTTTGTTCCCTTTTTTCCACTTTCTCCATATAAATACTTTGCTTCAGACCTCAGGGGTATAGTACATGCTCATAACATACCAGTAGTATCCATATATATAATTGAACACCAATATTGCTGTTTGTATTGTATTTATTATCCTCCCTTGTGGTATTAAATAAGTTACATTTAGTCTTCTAACACTAAAATTCATCTGTTTACAGAGCAAGCAGTTCAAAATGTCATTGTGGTTGTGGATGCCCCCAAAATCACATGCAGCTCCGCAGTGTTGGGTACAATGGCTTCTGATACTGTTTCCTAATTAGTTCTACTCTTTGTCCTGGAGCCGGTGAGTGGGGTCCTGGAGAGGGTACTCCATAGTTGTGCTGGGGGACCTTAACTGTTGTTTCCAACTTTAACTGGCCATGAAGTGTGCATTATACCGTGTTTGAGTGTAACAGGTTGTTCACAAATATATTTGGTTCCAGAACACGTTGGACCAAAATGAACATTTGACTCTATGGTACTGTCTAATCTCCCTTTGGAATAACTTGGCTCAAGGAACTTCATTATTAGAACTGTAAAATTTAGAGAGTAAATTAGCCATGCCAGTCCGTTGTGGTGAAGAAGGAGCTGAGTCCTAAGACGAAGCTCTCAAGTTACCGGTCGATCTACGTTTCTACCCTACCCTCACCTATGGCCATGAACTTTGGATCATGACCGAAAGAATGAGGTCGCGGATACAAGTGGCAGAAATGAGTTTCCTCCGGAGAGTGGCTGGGCGCACCCTTAGGGATAGGGTGCGGAGCTCAGTCACCCATGAGGAGCTCAGAGTAGAGCCGCTGCTCCTCCACGTTGAGCGGAACCACTTGAGGTGGCTCAGGCACCTGTTTACGATGCCTCCTGGACGCCTCCCTGGGGAGGTATTACGAGCATGTCCCTTCAGGAGAAGGCCTCGGGGCAGACCCAGAACACGTTGGAGAGACTATGTCTCAAGGCTGGCCTGGGAACGCCTTGTGGTTCCTCCCGGGGAGCTACAGGAGGTGTGTGGGGAGAGGGAAGTCTGGGAGGCTCTGCTTGGACTACTGCCCCTGTGACCCGGTCTCAGATAAAGCGGACAAAGATGGATGGATGGATGGATTAGCCATAGCAGAGACTTTACTCAGCAGACCTCTTTATTGGCTGTAGCTTACTGGTGGTAAGGTTTTATAAAAGTAGTTCTATCATAGGTACAGAAGAGGAATTCTTGGATTATGGTTATGCTTTGAACACTCCACACTGCACTAATCATCCAAAATGAGATCATTATACAGCCTGTCTGTTAGTGCAGCAGCAAGTTACATTGTTCTGTTCATACAATAGCAGTGGAAGAGGGCCCTAATCCAGATATCTGTAACAAACAAAAGGAGAGTCAAGTAAAAAAAAAAAGTGAAACCTGGCTCAAGTTTTGTTGCAACATTTTTTGTTGGATGTTTTTTTCATTTTGTGTGTTTTTGTGTGTGTCTGTGTGTGTGTTCTTTTGTTGCCTGCAGACACACATATCCAGATTACCATCTGGGACCATTCCCGGGCAGTCTTTGGCCATCGAGGGAGGTGTGTGTCGACTGATGAGCGTAGTAGAGTGAGCCGCATTCTCCCTCCTTCTGGGCTTCTTCAGCAATACTCCAATACAAACCCTTCCACCAACCAACACACCCACACACCCTCACCACCTTTGTGATACCAGAAGTAATAAGCTTTGGCTGTTTTCACATGTGTGTAGGACTAAGAGATGGTGTTAACTTCTACTTAGTGCTCTTACAGGACTTCCCTTTGCACTGTCTGCCTCCAGCATGTACAGTACTCTATGCCAACTTACCCAAGCTCTCCAGTGTCATCTGGATTAGACTTGATGCACCATTGCCTTTATTCGCTATTTTTTCTTTATTACTCTTTTCTCAATTAAAAGTGGCATCCTTCCTTTTTGTATACAAGCTCAAATTTAGGAAAACAGGGTGGATGTTCATGGTATTTTGTATTGCTGAACAGATGTGAATATTTTCAGACCTCTTGGAATTTCAAATGCAAGACCTTATTTTGTTCTTAAAATGCTTTTCAAGTTTGAAAAGATGTCAGAGTGTACACTGCTGAATGCCTGCTAGTCAAGGTGATTGTTACATATAATCATTTACAGCTATGAGAGATGAGCAATGATGATAAAAACAATTTACAACAATACCACGTGCAGTCCATGAGCTTGTACATGCTATTAATCCTCCAGCATTCTATGGGTACATCTCATGCCTCTTATAAGATGGGTCCTCATCGATGTAGGACATTTTAAGTCTCTTATATGGGCTCTGAGGACCAAGGACAGTGCTGGAGGAGCATGACCGAGGATACACAAAACTGACCTTTGTGGAAGTTTTTTGTGAGCCGACATGCCCCTTTAGACATCAACTGGTGATTGGAAGGTTCAGATAAAGGGTCTGAGATCTGGGGAAGGACTTCTCATGTTGTTAATAACATGTTTCCTTGAGTCTTTTCTCCTTATCTTTTCCTCACATTCTACATGGGCAGGAGTGAAATGCAAGGAAAAGATGCAAGTGAGGGAAACAACGTTGCTTATAAGACACTTGGGATGTAACCTATAAAATGTCACATAATGTGGATCTTAGATCATGATGACATTTATAACCATTTTAGCCACAGAGTGCATTGCTTTTTTAAAATGTGAATATGTAAATGTTGCATGTACAAAATCCACTTTCTGTTCCCTGACAGGCATAGAGTCGATTAAGAAGTAGAAAGCTATGCACTTCCAGAGTTATGCTGACACTCACACACACACACACACACACACACACACACACACCTATATATACAGTATATATATGTATACACACACACACACACACACACACACACATAGTGCTCAGGAAGCAGCATTTGACTACACCATCAAACATGACTGTTAGTCGTCATTTAAAAATCACAATTTATATTTGTATATACACACACTGACAGATAGTTGTATTTTCTTGCTTTAAATAAAAGGTAAGCTAAAACTAATTTATGCATCAAGCCCATGAAATGGTGCTGTTGAGAATTGTACTTGAAAGGAGTAATTGTTTAAATTGATACTTCTGTCAGCATAATAAGTTACTGTGGTTTTGCTGTTTCACTCAGTTACTAAGAACTTCAGTCTCAACAAAAACTATAATAGAGCTTGTTTATTCTTTACTTGAAAATGTAACTAATATAAAATGGTATAAGCTATGGAAAAGGGAATATGTGCACAGCTCTCTGCGGTGCTCAAAACATAAATAAAATCTATGTTGCTACATTTCTATGTCTATCTTTAGTCTTTTAAACACCATGGCATGAGACACATTCTTCCAATTGAACTGAAAAAGACACACATTGCTATTTGGAGAGCAGTTTGTGCAAGCCCCAGCAGACAGCTTAAGTATCATAATCTGAATTGGGGCCTGCCAAAAATGTATAGTCTGGGAATAAATTACATGCTGGACTGTAATTGGAGTGAAAGAAGAATTGTGCGGAAGGACTTGTGAGCATGCTGAAACTTTTCAACATGAGTGAGGAAATATCTATATAAATAAGTCTGTGTTTGTCGAGAAACCTCTGACTTATTAAAAATGTCCCTCCCACATATAGCATGCTCCTTTCCTGAGCCAGTGTTTTGTTTTTTGTTTTGACATTTAAGCTTTCCCTTTTTATTTAAAAGAGTGAATTATATAACCAAAACATTGCATGCTCCAGTGTTTCTCAAAAAACTTTTTTCTTCCGAGTTGCATTGATTTGAGTTCATACATATACTTTTAAAGACTTATTAGAGAAGGGAGTGTTATTTATATCAGTTGTATGAGTCTCTAGGGCAAGAGTTTGTCCAGCTGCTGGCTATGGTTCGTGGCCACTGTAGTATCTTACAGGAATGTGCAATAGAGATGTTCAAGATAAATATATTCACTCTTTGAAGGGAGAGATGCCTCCCTGTCAGTACATCATGAAAGGTTGTGGCATAGAGCCATGTACTGATGATATTCAGCCATTGTAACTTGCAGGTGTAATGTGTCACAGTCTTTTGCTATAACTAACATGCAGAATGCATTTGACAGGTCAGGAGTAGCAGGCAAAGGTTTTTGGGGGCAGTGCTATGTGTGTTTGTTTTTGTTCCACTGCCTCCTGACCCTGGTTTGATCTTGAGGGTTCAGCTAAAAGGAGACTTATGTTACCTTGCCCCTCACCCACACTCACACTCCTCTCCAGTAGCTTGATTGTGTTATTACAGAGCACCCTCTTTTCATCAGAGCTAATCTTTGTTGCTGGGAGACCCTCGGCCCTATTCAGCACAGAACCTTCCCCTTCAAACATCATTTCTCTCTGTCCCGGATCCCCTTAGCTTTGAAAATGGATCCTGGGTCTTTAAAAAGTGGATGGGGCCCTGAGCCATTCAAGGTGTATCCAAGGCCTTGCGTTCAACAAGGCTCTTAAATGCAAAACAGACGGCGGAGCAAATAAAGATCAAAGGCAGCAGCCTTGCCTACCTGGCCTGCTGTCCACACATGCCAAGCGGTCTTGTCACAGTGAATCACCACCATGCAGCTTCCGTGCTCATGCTGACCCCCCTCCCTCACCACCTCAGGGCCACCAATCCCCTCGACACGTTACAGCCCTCCTGTGCCGGTGTCTAACATCAACACCCGTACACACACTGGGTTAAAAACAGACGGTGTATGGGTGGGACTGTTTTCGTCAGACCAAGCCAGAACTGACCCTGACGAATAAGAGGAGACAGACGTCTGTCACCTCTATGAATAGCCGGATCTGTTCTTATCACGTTAAGAGTGGTTCATAGTGGTTTATTCACCCTGGCCTCTGAGGCCAAGGTGTAGAATTTATCTGTGCCTGCATTTCCTTGATTTCATGTAATAACTCAAAGCCTCTGTTGTCCTCATTTGTCTAAGGACAACAGAGGCTTGCAGTTTAATTTATGAGCAGGTGCATGTTATTTTAGCTGTTGTTTAAACATGTATAGAAAATGGCAGATGCCATGTGGCCATCTAACAAGATGATTCATTGCATGGTGATTCCATGTGTCCAAATGAATTAGAGTATTTAGATATGTGCTTTGTCACTGTTCTGCCATTCATGGTGTAGCTACAGATGTCTCAGCAACATCCTGGCAGCAGGGGTTGAAGGCACTCTGCCTTCTCAGATGGTCCACAGCTACTTCACCTGTTTGTTCAGCTGCACACCCAGGCACGTTTTTTCCCCACCATACACTCCTCCTCCCCCCCCGACTTGCTGTGCCAAAGATGCAGGCCTATGGCAGGCAGAGGGCCAGTGACTCTGCTCCTGTTTTGCAGGTAGGACATTAGGTGTGAAGGTTGAGAAGGAGAGACAGAGTGGCTAGATAAGCATGCTTCTGGTCCAGGTCTGCAATTCCAGATGAGAAGACCAAAGAAAAAAGCTTTTAATTAGGTTTGCAGTGCAGTTAGGGCCTTGCGGTATTGTGGCCCAGACACTTCCTGCATTGTGCTACACCACCCATAAAGCAGCATAGCAAGGGAATGAGTCCAAGAAAGTGCAGTGGAGAAGCTAAAATTGGCTCTACCACATCTGGATAATGTGGCAAAACAAAGAGCTGCCTGATTGGCACCCTGCATTGTGATTATTTACAGTGAGAATGGGAAATAAACCACCTGAACTTGTTTAAATGTGAAATATTTCTAAAACAAAAAAAAAGACAGAGGTTTCTCTTAATTTATTACAATATTAACATATCCAAGTTTACACTGCCTTCTTTTTTAAACTTTCTTTTCTTATTCCCACACTTAACTCTTGTGTAAAGATCTACAGAGAAATCCCCGAGCTGTTCCTGTCAGTCTTGGCTTAGTGTTTATGTCAGTACGGTGCATTATCATTGGACATAATTTCCTTCTCATAACAAAAATAGAGGCAAAATACCAACAATCATATCTTGGTTATGCTTAATGAGCCCTTTCGGATCCTTGACAATATACCACTAATATGATGCTTTGCAGCCTTTGAAACATACCAGAGTAGAATCCTGGAAATAGCAACACAAAAAGCGGGGCCTCATAGACACACAAGCTTTCTCTGTACTTTCTACAGTATTTTTGCCTTCTCATATTTTTAAAACAAATTACACACAGCCATCTTGTGTTTGTATTCCTACCTCTGCAGAGGAGTCACGGTACAAGTTGTGCTAGCGTTTGCAAGGGAGGGGAGAAGTAACGAGAGACGAAAAGTGAGGAGGGTGTACAAGTAGTGCCCTGGTTCTGAGACACGTGGAGCCTGTCTGGAGAAGAGATACTAGGGGCAGAGGGAGGGGGGTGTAGGTATGTCATCAATTTGAGCTCAGCCCTAATGTTTCATAATAAAGACAAACACCTCACTTTGATCTTCAGGGCCTGTTCTGCAGGCGGTCTGCTAAGATAACGGTCCATGCCGGTTACTGTAATCTTAGCCTTGAACCATACTTTTACTGAAGACAGAAGACTTAAAAAGAGCTTTACCCACTACGGGTCTGATAGTGCTGAAGTTGAAATATGTCTGCAGTGTATCTGAGTGGTTTCCAGTAAATATTTGAATGTGGGTTCTTGATAAAAGGCTGTGTTTGGGATAAATGGATTGAGGAACATGTGTAGAGAATTTTGGATTAGTGAAGTAAGCAGGCAGTTGCAAGCAGCACCTCAGGGGTGTGAAACGTGCCGGGGCTTGCTGCATTATAAAGACAAGTCCCGCATTCAGCCAGCTGTGCCGTGCCCAAGGTTGCAGGAATGAGGGCACTATGAATGGCTTTCTCTGTGTGACAATGACTGCAGTGCTCAGATGAGATGGAATGGTCAATGCTCCCTGTCTGTGTTGAGTGTGTGTGTGTGAGTGTGTGCGTAAACTGAGAAATTACTCAGGAATGTGTGGATACATGCCAAAGACAAAGAATTTGAGTCGTGTTCAAGGCGCTTGCCCTCTGAAGGAATATCACAATCCCATCAAAAGGCCTGCTCTGAGAGCCACAGTGGATGGAACTAATGAAAGTCTTGTGCACTGACTTAAGCCTGTTGGAGGAGTTTTAATTGATGAGATGAAATGTTTGTTTCCCTGCAGACTAATTTCCTCTGACAGCAGGAGAGAAGTCTAATAGCAGCCGATGAAACATTGCTTGAAATTTTAATATATACATTCCATTAAAATCACGCATGAAAAGATTTGTCTAGCAACACATCAGTTGGCTTTTTAAACATTTATTTATAGATTTATATCTTAAAATCTTTCCATACATTTGAATTCACACATTCTTTGCGCTCTATTACGGTTTAATCCTAACCTGACACAGTGATACACACACTGATAACAAAGCATCTCAAGTTAGCATTCAGCCATATCATCACCCGACTCAGATGCAGCTACAACTTAATAAATACTTTACAAAAATAATGCAGGCTTTTTACAATGAAAATCTGCCTCAAAGACAAGGAACACAGTTGTACATGATTGGTAAACATTTTTAAAAAACTGCATGCTAAATAAACACAAATTTACATGAGAACCTGGATATTGCAATTGACGAATGGTAGAAAACGGGATGCTGTAAGATTCAAACCCTGTCCTCTGTCCCCACCCCAACACACTCCTGAAGGATCTCATTTTTCTATCACGACAGGCCTCTCAGATTCACCAAACATAAACATGAACACAACCTATAGGATGGTCCTAGAATAATAATCTTCCCTTTTAATAATATGAAGTCAGTTCTCTCTTTAGTGACCAAAACTGACAGGTGGAACTGGAAACACAAATTACTGGCAAGATTTCAGAGACACGTTTTATACAAAAACGAACAAAAACAAAAAGCAAAATTATTTTGCCTGTCAAGAAACATTCCTTATGATCAAGAAAGAGTTCTGACTCTGTTGGATTTATATTCCTGGTTCAAAAGAGCAGTGAGTCTTGTTCCTCAGAGCTTAAAAGTACGTGTTAGACCCAAAACAGAATCAAAAATGGTTTCAGCACCATTTCTCAGGTTTAGCTGAACGTTTAAGCAGTGTTTTTTTTTCATTCACTCTGCACAGGGCTAGAATTCCCTTGCTTCTTCAAACTGTTTGTAGTAGTCCTCCTCCTGAGGGTTCTCAGGACATTTCTGCCCGTTGTTCGGTGGCCTGGCCTGATTGTAGCGGCTCCAGTCTCCTTTGCAGATGATCCACGGCAGGATGTCCACTTTGTAGTGCAGGTCTGCTGAAAACTCCGTGCTAATGAGGTTTGGTGCACCAGCCCCTTTGCCGCGAGTGATGAGCTTCATGTTGTCGTCGTAGCAGCAGTGCTGTGCGGCCAGTGTGGTGGACTCCAGTGTCAGTATGGAGCGGATGCAGTAGCGGGCTGTGGGTTTGTAGATCTCTAGTTTTTCTTTTGGCCCACTGGCATCTTTCCAACGGAAATCTCGGCGTGTAGGAGCATCGTGTACATCTGCTGTGCTGTATGCCACCTCAGTTGGGTAAGAGCAAGGACAGCTGGGAAGGTCGTTTGACACCTTGGTCATATACTTCTTCAAGAAGTCGCTCTTGCAGTTCATCCAACGCTCACAGCTGTCTGTGTCTGGAAGACATGAAGACTGTTAAATGCTGCATCGCTCGTTTACTCTCCATTATTAGAAGATGAAACCAGAAGTGTGAGAAGGTGTAATGTTTAATATGAAGGTGTGTTTTCACTGAGTTGATTAAGACTGGACAGACAAAGACAGTGGGCAGTGGCAAAAGGTGCTCTTCCTGCCCTGCTACACATTTTCATCTCTGCACATTAATAAAGTACAGCTTCAGCAAGAGGAATGTGTGCAGGAGCACTGCTGCCAGATGGATGGACTGCCTTTGATAATGCAAGAACATCTGGATGAGGGATAGTCTGCAGTAAGACAAGAGTTAGGCACAATCTTACCAACACCAAAGAGCTCTGTGGCATTGAACTCATCTGTTCCAGCTAAAAGGCTCACTTCAGTAGCTGCTGTCTTGAAGGCATCTTCGATACCTTTAAAGAGATGAATTAACAGTAAAAGGCAGATCAAAAGATGAATGACTGATAAAGCACACTCATAAACTGTCCCCTAATATTCATTAACATTTTTATTGGTTTGGATTTTGTATTTTTTTATTCTTTTATTCATTTGTTTGTTTGGTTCTGTGATCCATAATCAAGACTTCACCTGGGCAGTTGGGCATATCGCAGGTTCGGGATTCTGTGGCTGTACAGGCATAACCACATGACCGGGTTCTCTTCTGGTTGCCATTTCCACAAGTGACACTACATGCTGACCAGTTACTCCAGTCCCCCTCTCCATCCATATAGTCTGGATCAGAAGGAAAGAGAGAAAAATCCTCAGCTGTGATACAGGGCCAATGACGGGGCTCTGATGCTGAACTTCCTTAGGCCTGTTAGCATGTCTCACTAATAATAAGTGAGAGAGCACATGAAAGGGGAAGTGGGGAAGCTCAAAGCTCTTTTTGACTTTGCCCTTCAAATCAGACACCACATAAGCCTGTCAATATGTACACACACACATAACACCGTCTTGCACATGCTAACATAAAGCTGTTGAACCAAAAAAGTCCAAGGCAAAGAGGACGTGTATTCAGTAAGTGAAGTAACAAGGATCCCAGTAATGCTACTGTTGATCTGGTAGGCAAATTACAAATAGGCATTTCCCCGTATCTCTGGCGCAGTGACATTGGACACCATGCAGTTGCTGTATCTGTGATTCATTGGTTTGAAAATGGGAAATGAAAGAAAACAAGAAATTCTCTTTAACTCCAATTATCATGGAGCAGATCACTGTAATTGGTATACATGGAAACAGTTATACTAGAGTCTAAGACCACCTAACCTGACCACCACCATCACTACTGCACACACATCTTGAAAACACTACTCCATCAATGAGAAGAATTAATCTGGGCATGTTGGGATGGAAGTATTTCTGGCCAGGGTCCAGACCTTCCTCTACACCCCCCAGCTGCCATCTGCCTCTCATTATGAGCATTTTGTAAGAATATAGTCCAGCTAGCCATCTAGGGTGGCTGCCCTCCCCTCTCCATAGCTTTGCATGGCCATAGAGCAGGTGGCCACACAAATAAAACTGAATTTAGAAAACTTGATAACACTCTGCCCTCACTCACAGATGAGCCAAAGGTTCTGTATGTACTATTGGTGGCTTGTGACAGATGACCCTCACTGAATGATCATAGTTATGAGTATTAGGTTTAAAACCAGGACAGTAATGATGTTAAAATATTTCCTTCTCCATTAGTGTGGTATAAAATAAAGGATGAAAGACAGCTGACCGCAGTGAGAAGACAGAAACATTAAACCATTAAACATGGGCTATGGTTTGACAAAAAAAAAGATTTTAAAATCGCCTTGCTTACCACTGTAGTGCAAGTGCAAGTGGATAAAATGACATTTTCCACAGCACATGCATTCCTGTTTGACCGTGTTGGTTTGGGCATGCTACAACATGGACCTGACGCATACTGTATGACAGTAAGTGTAAATTCTTCCACAGCAGATTTATCTGTGGGGTTACTTTTAGAGAGTGTTGTTGGAATGGTGTGGCAGCCTGACAGGGCTTTTGGCCCCATTCCTGCCGCTGAACTTTGATGTCGCAAGGTGTTAAACTGTGTCACGTAGCTAGCTCCACACCACAGAGGAATCTAACTCATAAAAGGGTGTTAAAGGCTTCCGTCAGGGGCTCCTAAAGGCTCGCCTGGGATGACTGCACTTATGATGGTGACAGCTTAAATCAGCAAATCTGTAAATTACAGATTCCACAACAGACTATGGCCATCTGTGGAAACGCTGAAGACCGGTGCTCAAATAAGAGCCTTTGGATCCTGCTAAATATTCTCCAGCGTGCATTGTGCACTCATTTCCTGTCAAACAAACACACACCCTCCTGTCATTCTCACCATATTCAGTTTGAGCTTTGCTTCCTCCCCCCGTGCCTCCTCTCCTGTCCCAGTCTGCTGGTGGCCTGAGGAAGTTGCTGTCCTCACTGTTGCTCCCATACGAGTGATCGTGCTCCTCTGTTTGATGAGTGGTGGAAGAGGAGGATGAAGAAGTGTGAGGCCACCAGTTTCTCCAGTTAGGAGAAGCCCAGCTGGGTTTGCTTTCCTTACGGAGGCCCTTCTCGGGCTCATGGCTCTCCAACCCATCCACCACTTCAATGGTCACCTGTATTGAAAAGCAGACATTTTAGTCAGCATTTAATGCAGAGACATGAAAGAAGATACTTAAATAGTATTTTTGGACAGAATGGGTAGATTGAGTGCTGTAAGGTGACACTTCCTGATACCTCTGCACACAGACTAACCCCTCCCCCTTTCTGTCCTAACACATATGCCTGCCAGATGGAGGGACCACCACCCCTGCCCCAGAGCCACCCTCCCACCTCAGGGGGCTCTCTCCACCTAAACACAAAGTTCAAAGGGCTACTCGGCCTCCTCCAGACCATGAAAGCCAGATGAATCCCAGGATCAAAGACACCTCCCTTCTCCTCCTCTTCTCCCACAGCCTCACGCCTTTGCTCAATTGCTTGCTTCTCTCTCTTCCCACATCTTGAGATGTTAATACACTTTTTTCATGCTCGGATTTGGCAGTGATGCTCTCAGAAATGGAAAGACCCACTGGCTGGATTAGATAGGAGAATGATTTAAACATGGCAGCGGTTACCCGGCCATCTGCGCCACTGAGGGACTTATGGCCAAGGGTTTGCTACACATTTATATACTGTAAGCTGCTGGCTGTCTTGCTGCCCATGGATTAGTAGTGAGGTATTGCATGTTAGTGTCATTTGTTATTATGATGGACATGAGACCTTAGTGTCTATCCTAAGCCTCACTGTGAGCCAGGATGTGTGTGTGTGTATGTGGGGGAAGGGGGGGTTGGCGGGGGGGTGGGGGTAGTGATGTGCACCAAGCTATCCTCCTCCTTCCTGTTTGTGCTTCCTGCCCTATGTGCTTGAGTAGCCATGTCTTACAAGTGAATAAAACTCTCACAACACACTGGCAGATGCACAGACACACATGATCACCTGTATGTTTGGATTCTGCCCATTGATGTCGGCTCCGGAGAGGTCGGGAAAATTGTGTAGATCTAGGAAGAAAGCTCCAGGGCCGTCCCTGTGTATGCTGCTGCCTTGTGCCCAGGGGAGGGTGGCAGGCTGGTGGGCCAACCTATGTTCTGGACCAGACCGTCGGTCTTCAGGAGCCAACTGGGCAGAGGAGCTGCTTTTTGCATTTATACTGTTCTGTTAAGGAGGAAAAGAAACATAATATTATTTTATCATTGGCTAGTGCTTTCACATTATAAGATTATTACAATGTTTTTGAAAAGCATTTTCTCCCATTTTTTGTGAATGTTAAGGGTTCTCTATATCACATGACATCTACAGAGTCTGCATACTCAGCAACACTAGATTGGTCTCCCATGTTGAGAGATGCTTGTGGCCATGACCTCTGTCATAAATCTTGCAGACAGCGGACTCATGACTGGTTGGAGCCCTGAAAGAAGGGGCCAGTGTGTAACAGTGAATGTGCCCGCTTCCACGAAAATATAATCCATCCAGAGCCAGTGTCATGGTCAGACTGTATATTTTTCCATTTTTAACTTGACCAAGCTGCTTTACCATAGCAATATGATGTGGACATAATATAGCATATTCTGGTACTAGCTGGGAGAAAAGTGCTATGTAAGACTGATGGTTTTCCTGCATAGAGAAACCTAAGCAAACATCACAAAAATAATTACTTCTTCCTTTTTGTAGACAGAAAAACATTTGGCCTTCTGGGGGTGGGGGGTTTGTCCCAGAAGAATAGCTGAGGCATATGTCCCCTGTCAGGTATGTATAGAAAGAACAATTACTCCTCAATTGGACAGACAACCATAAGTAGTCGGCAATCATCCACAGTGGGGCGGCAGAAAAGAAGTTCAAAAAAAGCCATCAATCATGCTCCTTGTTTTTGTGGCCAGACTGAGGCCTGAGAGGATAGCAGCAGTGCTGTAGCCACACTGTGGTGGGCACAGGATAGGCGCTAAATGTACATGTA